TAAGAGTCTGAAGTGTTCTTGTTCCCAGCATCCCTTTGACTTTCCCATTTGGGGCACAGGTTCAGAGCAGAACCTGTGTGTTTTTTCTGCTGCGGTTCTGTAATTTTGCAGGAGCCCAGCTTCGCTCTGCGTTATTCAGACCACAAAAAGCATTTTTTTAAAAGGGGGAGGAAAAAGAGGTGAAGGAAAGAACAATGCAGATGGGAAGGTAGGCATTGCACGCTTCAGGAGGGCATTAAGTGAAAGAGTTAAAACATGACCGGATTTGTGTTTCAGGTTTCTCCGTGTGAGAAGTGTCGCTGTGAAGCCAATGGTGAAGTGCTGTGCACTGTCTCAGCCTGTCCCCAGACGGAGTGCGTGGATCCAGTGTATGAGCCCGATCAGTGCTGTCCTATCTGCAAAAATGGTAAGTGACGGCAGCAAAACTAGAAAGGGGGCTTCTGTCAGAGAGATCCACGTTGCTCTGTTCTGGTTTTGGAAAATAATTCGAATATTTTCCTTTTTCCCCAAACGGAGATGGAGAAGAATTTTCTGTGGGTGGTGTCTTCCCAGTGTGCGGAGCCAGATCTTCTCTTGACTGGGATGGACTCGATTATGACCTATGGGAATTTTTGTTACCCAGGAGACAATTAGGGTGTTGATACCAGATATTCATGTGGCTTCTGAATATAAATTTTGCATGAACTCGTTGTGGATATGTTTTATATAGGCATACAAAACAGAACTCAAGCTCTTCATGTTATCCACCTTTCCATGTGAGCAGTAAAAGTTACTTTTGTTCTCCTTTCTTATTTGTTCCCCTTTCAGAGATTCTTCTCTTCTTTTTTATTTTTCCTGAGGCAAATCGAATGTACCTTATTGAGCTCATTTAATTTTCATAACTAAATGAATTAAACTCCCAAGTTTAATTGAATATTTTTCGTAACTAAATTAGACAGAAAGTCTCTCTACTCCCAGCAAGGGCTAGCATTAGATCAAAGTCTTGGTCTATTCAGAGGAAAAAATTACATGACACACTAGCTCATCATTTATAAAGAAGAAATGATAATTTATTAATAGAAATGAAAGCTGCAAAATCTCAAATGAAATTATACTTAAAATGAAAAAAGACATTTAAAAATATTCAGATAATTTTCAGCCATGTATTATTTCTCTAGAATAGGTGGGTTCCATTACATTAGCTAAAACAAACTGATTAAAATTGTGGAAAAGCTAGGGGAGGAGAGAGTGTACAACATATGCTTTCCGCAAATTCAACGGTAGATGATAAGGGATAGTTAATTGCATTGGAGGAGTTTCATTTGTATGGGCAGAAAAGTAATTGCTTCACATCCCTTAATTGGTTGTTACAACCCTGAAGGAATTTGTTCTCGGCTGTACAGCTTAAGGGCACTCTGCTTATAGAGATGAGGACAGGCATTTTTTGAGGCATTTAGGGACAGTTAGTGAAAAAGGCTGAATTTGGGAGCTGGTGGTATGACAGCTAGCCGGTCCGGAGGATCCTTTAAGACTTGTTCGATGGCAAGAACCTTCTTACATGCTCACAGGCTTTTTGTGCGCACCACACTCTGCAGCAGTTCCCCAAAGGGGAAGGTCTATTTTCAGTATCGGGGATGGAGTTACAAGCATAATGTGTGAAGTCTATGTAGTCTTTTCCACTGAATTTCTCCAGCGGTGTTAACGCTGCGTGGAGCTGGATCAGCTTTCCATTGGTGCACGTTCTCCCACAAGCATCAACATAATGCACTGCAGTGGCCATCTCCGAGCAGTGGCTTGCCTTTGGATTAAGGTGGTACTGCAGTGTGGGGCTTGGCTTGGCTTGGCTGTTTGCATAGATCCCCTGACATGTTTCCCAGAAATGGGGCCTGTTTAAAAAAATCATACATAAACATGCCTTAGTTGTGAGCAGGCTACCTCTCTGAGTGCCAAAGCTGAATTACCCGAGTTCTGCCTGCAAGAAAAGGGTGCACTTGTTCCTCAGCGTCTGAATCCCCAATATTAATTGCATATTCCTTGGGTGTGCCCAGAAGCTGGCACCCCTGACCCAGTTTCAGACCAAGGTGACCAGAGCTGACTGTTTCCAGTGAGCTGTACTGTCACTTCTCTGCATGTCAGAGAACCAAGAGTGGCTTTCCTTGTTAGCTTTTAGATGAGGAAAAAAGCCATTAACAATAACAACAAGATAGTTCAGAAGAAGCTCGACTTTTCTGGGTCAGCAGCTTCAGTACAGTATCACAAAGAAATTTCTGAGGAATCCTCTCCATCTGGGGAGTGCATTTAAAAAAAAAAAAATCAGGCCGTTTGCTTTCAGAGCTTATTTTAAAGCATGGGACAAGCGCAGTTTGCAAGGAACTTCAGTGAATTGCTGAATGTTTTTAATTAGATTGGAGCAAAAACCTACTGAGCAGGAAAACCTAGCCTGCCTCATCCCCTCATTTTCAAGCCTACTGGAACAAACGTGCTGTGAATGTGAGTCAGGGAAACAATCATCACGTTGTGCTTCAGGATTCATGGTTGCAGCAATGACATCAACGACATTGTGTTAGTGACACAAAAGAGCTTGGGTGATGTACAAGGGAGCTCAGCCGCAAAACCTGAGTGGTGGGAAAGGTGGAGCCGTGGAAAGTGTATAAGTGAGGTGACTGCTGTCATGCTCTGCATCCCGCCCTCAGTAGAGCAAGAAGGGGTGGGAGGTGAAGTTTGGGTGCTCTAGATTTACTAACATTTGTGTGTTAAAAATGCAGAAAATCGAATTCAGATTTCATTCCCTTTCCTGGCACTTCATAACATATAAGACTTTCCCAACTCGCCTGGCCTGTGGATTGCTGGCAGTGAACCAACAGAGTCAGGGCTAAGCAACTACATCCATCACTGGTAAGACCACGTACAAATGCCTGATTAAGAATTATGGAGGAGATCTAGTGAAAGTCTGCCGTTATTAGAAATGAATGAATTCAGTCTCTTGGCATGTGTGAGACACTGTGCATTATCCCTTGTGGGAAAGAGCGGGTGTAGTTGACTTCCCCAACCTGATTCCACAAAAGTGCTGGCAACCCTTCAGATGAGGGACGGATAGGTAACTGCCCATCGGGCTTACAGAACTGCACGCAAGTATAGGTACAGACTTACTGTGAATGTAAGAAGTAGTGAATGGAAAACTTGAAGAGCAAAAAACAGTCTTACGTGTAGGATTTAATAATCTTCTATATCACATCCCGACTTTCAAGAAGGAGCCTAGGTACTTCTATAGCTGAAGATGTTATTTTCTTCTTTGTGGGCAGGGACAGGGAGTAATTTAAAGAAGTATCTGCTCTGAAAAGTAGTCTGCAGAAGGGATAAAAGGTGACACCTCACTGAGAAAATCTTGGGGTGAGGGGAATTTTCCGGCTTTTTATGTCTCCAGTTGCTACAGCTAAGGGAGCTGTTTTGTATTTATCTTATATACACGCCCTGCAAGGAAGCAGGTTGGGGACAGAGGGGAATGGAAGAGAGGCTTTCTTCTGGTGTGGGTTGACATGTTGAGCTTCACGCTTTCGGTAACAAACAGCAGCAGCAACAAGAAAAAACATCCAGAAAGTTAAATCTGACTTCAGAGAGTTGCATTAAGTAACAGGTGCCCAGTTCAGATCTCCATCCTGCTTTACAGTACTAGCAACGTAGTTACTTCTGTGGAAGCCGTCCCTGTTCACAGCGATATCAATAAGCTCAGAATTGGCTACAGACACTTCTATAGTTCGTATGGAGTGAAGGGTAAAGATAATCGGCATACAATTCCCTTTCCATTAGGAAAAGGCTGGGCACTTGTCACTGATTCATTTGGGGCAGTGGGAGGGGGTGGGGTGTAATGCTGAAAGTGAATTACCTTGCTAGATTAAATTACCTTGGTTGTCTGTTCCACTTCTATGTCCAGTATTAGAGCCCTAATAGGCATACACCGCTGAATGCCACTTTGCCTGAAGCATGCAGCCATGGAACAGTTGATGGAGTTAAGGGTGGCCTTGCTCCTGCCGGTGTCTTTGCAGGAGGATGAGATTAAACCTACAGCCCGCGTGGAGCCTGGAGGGGGAGGCGTGGCTGCTAGACCAAAAAACATTTTGTTCTCAGGTCCCCGAGAGATTTTTATTTCATTATATGGCTGAAAGATTGCCCCAGATAAGATGAAGCTGATCCTGGTGCCTTCCTAGCACTTTTCTGTCTGTGCGTCAGTGTTGTTTCTGTGTCTGCAGCAGGGAGAGCTGAGCTTCTCCTGTCAGCGAAGGCTCGTAACTGCGCAGCCGAAAATATAAGCGCTGATGCCCAGGGAGTCACATGTGTTCTCAGGGCTGTAACATCCACAGGAGATGTCTTGTCTGTTATCGCTGGCTGTGCAGTAGGGAGACTTTACTCTGGATGTAGTGATTTCAGGCGCCTTAGGTGGGATGAGTCAGGACCTCATTTCATAATTGGGTTCATAGTTAGGGTTGAAATACATGCATCATGTGGTTGAAATGGTTGCCGCTAATAAGGTGCAGGTCTAATATGATGTGGCCAGAGAGGGTAGATGGTCATGGTTTTGTATACCCATACTGTGAGGTTGACTCACTGAAACTTGCTTTAGTACCTTTATGTACAATTACAATGTTTAGGCATGGGGTGGCCTGAGAGTGCCTCTGAATGGCAGGTGGGGACCTCCGTCTGTGCGAAGGAGCTCTCAAGGGGGGCAAAATCCTGATAAAGGCTGGCAGAGCTGCCCTCCCCTTCTGCGACTGTTGGTATAACAGGACTGATAACTAATCCCAGTTCCACCCATGCTGTATGCAGCAATGTGATTTGTTCCCTTCTGATGTGTTTATTAGTTCAGGCATGTGAATGCCTGTGTATGCAGGGTGGTATTTGTTCCATGTTTCTGTGTGCATGAGTCGCTTAGCAAAAACTTCTGCACAAAATTCCCGCTTTAATAGGCTGTATTTGACAAAATTATTTATAATATGGGACTGTTAACCAAGTAATATTAATCTTTTAGGGGGAATTAATGTTTCAGGGGAAAAACACCATTAAAGTTGCATGAACAGCTGTATGTGATTAAAATTGCCTAGTGAATATGCAGGTAGGTTGAAAAACTGTAGCAGATATTTTGGCAGCTATTTACTGAAAACCAAAAAATACCAGACTTGCTTCTCTTTGGCTGCGTTGGGCATTTGAAGTGGCTTTCAAATCTGGTAGGTGAAGTCGGTAAACTAGTTGCAGTAGTTTTTGTTTTTGGTTTCTGCTGTTGATGAAGTCAAGAGGAAGTTCAGTCCATGTCGTCTTAATTCAAGGAATTTCTTTTAACCCCATTTCATCTCGCTGCTCACCTCTCTCATTTTCTCTCTCGACTCTGGGAAAGTTGGTGGCTACACAAGTTATGTGTGCTTCTTGTGCAGGAAT